AACTCGTTCAGGCTTTTCCACCGAAGAACTCAGATCTTTGGCAAAACCGGGTTTGAATTTATAAACTGGCTAATTTGATGACTTTAATATTTGCATTTCTAACATTCTAGGTAAAAAACATGAACAAATGTTGATCTTTACAAAATCTTTTCCCCATTTTTTTAGAGATGTCACTAAATTTTATAGTATACAAAAGTGTTAATACTTTCAATTCCATATGCCTACGGTGGAGAGGTTCAATAAATCACCCCGAAGCAAGAACACATAAAATCTAACACATCAAGAATGAGGTTTACTGCGTTATTAAATATGAAGTACTTGTGATTTAGAATCTTAGCTCGCTGAAGGCCAGAATTTATAGCTTTTTTCTCTGCATTCTGCTTTATTATTTGGTCCATTTACCAAGAGGCATAAAGGAATTATTAGAATAAACACACATTGGGTCTCCTTGGTAGCACAGGGATTAAAGACAGTGCTATCAAGCTATCACCAGCCACTGCAGCATGAATTCAATTCCCCGGCCAGCCAGGGAGCTGACCCACATGGTACAGCAAACCGCTCCTGCTCGCCCACTGCTCACCTCAGCAGTGTATTTCAGTAGATCTGCCTGTTCTGCTCCCCACTCTGTCTCTAGTGAATCCTTTCCCCCCACACCTCTGGCCTACACCCCAGCTCTTCCATGCATAAATAAATCTTTAAAAAAAAATACATTGTTTTACTACCAACATAAAGTAGTTATTTATATCTATGTCAGCCATTCTCAACCCTGCATTTTAGATTGAACCATAATTTATTAATTTACCCAAGAAATCTAGTCAAATCTGTGATCGGTAAAGCTCAAAAGCACCGAGTTGGCTGAAAGGTAGTGGCAGCTACTTTGGGCTTTCAGTTGGGTGGCCCTGACTGATGCTTTTGGTTGTACTGAAAAAAAATTTCAGAAAATCAGTAAGACTTTAAGAATCTCTTAGTTACTTCTAGTCTCTTTTCAGATCACCATAAAATGCAAACATTCCCATCTTCCTTCAGCATCTACCACCATCCTTTCTTCAAAACCTATTCTTCATGGACAAAAGAGGCCATCAGATACAAATTTTCTCATCTTACCACTCCTTCACTCCTAATATTTCTCACCTACAGTTTCATTTTCTATGCTAGGTGTTGGGTTTTGTTCCAAAAGCCTCTCCCCTTTTCCAAGGTCAGTTTCCTGAGTGCTTACTATGTCCATTCCACTCTCTTGCAGGACCTTATTTATCTGCTCCCTTGTATCTTTAGTATTTCCTTTTGCTCGCTCTCCTTGGTTTGGAAACTTCTATTTCATATTCCAGCTTAGGCAAAGAATTCTACCCTGCTGTTTCCTCTTTGAAATTATCCTCTTTGAAATCTCACCAAAATTTACTGAGAAAAGCCAACAATTTCTTATTTGCTATTCATTCACTGACCAGTATCTCATCCTGAATCCTTACTTTTGCTCTTAAAGGAAATAGTCTCTCAAAGATTGACAGTGATTCAATTGCCAACTTCAAAAGCTAAATTTGATAGGCTTGGTCACCGCCTGCTCCTCACTGGCTACTTTACACCACTCCCCTTTGGAGCTTCTCCTCTTTTCAAGCTTCATCTGTTGGACTTCACTGCTATTTTTAAATTTTTTTCTTTCTCCATGATCAAATTTTATACATACTATATCTACATGTGTATCTGAGAGTGTGCTTCATTTCCACTCCAGACCTTTCTTCTGAGCTTTAGCTCTATGTAAGAAGTGTCTACTGGTCATGCTCAAACTAGGTTCAATGTATCCAAAACTGGATTGATCTTTCTTTCCCCCTATCACTCCACTCCTGTGCTGACATCAATATTCAAGGCTCTCACCACCAAAAAGAACACATGCCTTCTTCTACCCTATATTATCTTCTCACCATTGACTTAAAACTTCCAGTCTCTCCTATCTCCAGATCTACCCTGGCGTGCCTTTCCCGTCCTATGTTACAATCAAGGTAGGCCCTTGTCTTACTCAGAGAAGTGACTCATCTTCTGCCCTCTGTGACTTTTTTCTTCACTCTTTCACACTGTACAACTTAAATCTTCAATCACCTCTCTGCTGACTATACAAATAAACTGAATCCCCAGAAAGGCATAAAAATTCAATTTGGGGGCCTCCCTTGTGGCACAAGGGGTTAAGACGCAACCTATGAAGCTATTGGAAGCCACTGCAGCATGAGTTCGATCCCTGGCCAGGGAGCTACCCACATGGCACAGACCTCTCCTGACTTGCCTGCTGCTCCCCTCAGCAGTGTATTTCAGTCAATCTGCCTGTTCTGTTGCCTGCTCTGCCTCTGATGAATCCTCTCAACCCCACACCTCTGGCCTGTACCCCGGTTCTTGTATGCATAAATAAATCTTTAAAAAAAATTCAATTTGGTTCAAAACGACCCTACATTTTCAGTTTTCTTTCTACCCATCCTCTTTTCCAGCCACAGCAAACTTGGTTATTTCCAGAATACATCTACACAAAGTCAGTTGCTGCCATTCCCTTTACTGACATGCTTTTAATTCCCTCTGGTCCTTGAACACTCCGTTGTCTTTCAGTGTATTACCTCCTCTGTTAATAATTTTCTGATGCTATCTGACAGAACAAATGCTTTGAATATCAGGGCTCCTTTGTACTTGGGACATACTTCTGTAATTAGTAATTACATTGTATGGTGCCTGTCTCCCCAACAGCTAGAAACAGATGAAGGAAGGATTATTTTTTACCCTGGAACATGGGGTACACTGTTAGTATCTATAGAGTTTGAGGAACTCAATAATGGGATATTTTGTGTAGACAGGGGAGGCCTCCTCTCTATAAATTCCCAGGCAGCACACACCACATAAAATGATATACTGACAGAATAAGTTTTGTGAGAGCTTTAATGGCACAAAATGTTTATCGCTACAAGTTATACAGGTATTGTAAACTGTATATAATGATACAAAGTGCTAACTAAATAGATGAAGAATGCATAAACACTTTGGCTCAGTTAATTCCAATAATTTCAACAACTGGTTCACTTGCAAGTTCAACTGACTGGCTAAGTCTTCAATTTTCATTGTTTAAAATAGTAAATATTTTTACTGCAATCAAAGTAACTTGATACACTTTTCCTTGTGCAAGTTTGTGCAATGTTGCTTTTGATTCTATTTATAAATATTTTAAGCCAGTTTCCACCAAACGTAAGAAAAATGAAACCTGCCCATTTATCCCCAAATTGTAAACAGGTGTAAAGCTTTTCAAACATTAATCTTAAAATGTCAACTGTTAGTTGTTGAATTCGCCTTTCCAATCATACAATCTGTTTTCATTAAAACACAAATCTGGGTAGGAACATAAACATTTATCCCATATGTTAGGGCTATCAATAAATACTGCATGATTTCATCTTACGATAAGTTCTACTGTGATGATATATTCATGTTTTAAGTAAGATTCCAAAATTTCACAGATATATTAAGAAAGGGGACAGAACTAAATTTATTTTCAATGTTAAGAAAAGTAATAAATATAACCAAGTTCAATCACACTATGGCTACAACTGCTACTGAATTCAAAGAGGTTAATGTGTTGCCTATAAAAAGTTGCTCTTATTTTAAATCTAATTTTACTTTTCCCTGTCATTGATACCGACTGTAATACAAACTGTATGTTGTAGCAGTTGAGCTATTTAGTGCTCTTAACTTTACCAGCCTTTCCAATTTTATGCAGGCCTTTCAAAATCAGGGAATTATCAGATTTACTTTCATCCCAAAGAAATTCAGATATGAACACTTGAAATAAACAGGTTACAGAAGGCAAATCAAGTGTTTTCAGGTTTAAGAGTAAGATAGGAGCAAAAAGTTTAAAATTATTTGGACATCAAAAAAATGCTAGAAAGGAAAAATAAAATACCTCTGAAAACTATTTTGGATAATCTTTCCTAAAGATAATTGCATTTCTGAAAAAAGTCAAATTAATTGTTTCATCTCCATGGTGTTTTCCACTAAAACACATCAGTTTTACAAAACTTGATGTCAAAGAGAAAGTTTCTGCAAACAAGAAAACCTGGTTGTCATAGTGTTTCTATTTAAGTCAAGCTGATGTGCCTTATTTAATGGATAAATTATTTTAAATTAACAAGGATTCCCTAAATATTGGAGAATAATGTCTATATCATTAATAGTAATTATTTATGTCTAGAACATACACTAGTATCCTTCAGAGTCACACTGTTCTGAAATCCAATCAGATCTAATTGAAATAAATGGTGATCCTGATGTGTTCTAATAATTTGGTCCTAAAGCTTCACATTTTAGAAACAAAAAAGTATATGGTTGAAGGAAACTGCTGAGTAATCTGAAACTTCAGGCATTTTTAACACAGAAGATGGCTACAAGAGAAAGGACCAGGGCCCGCAGAGCCACAGGAACCACCTTGGTAAGACTGTACAGCACACATTAAAAAAAGAGAGCGATCAGAAGAAAACAAATGGCATCTCTTCAGAATTTTGTCAATTGTTCCCACAATCCAAGTTTGTTTTACAAAGTTGCATAAGAGTTTGGAGTAACTCTGAAACAATTATCTTGTGTTTAAAGGCTTCAGAGTATTAGGGAAGCTTCCTAAAACACGAAGCCTGTATTTATTATGGAATTCATTCCAAAGCTGCTTCTTATGGGAAAAAAACAAAAAAAGAAAATAAAAAAATTTTAAAGAAATTCATGAAAAATTCACATGCAGCTAATAAACATAAAAATACCAAACACACACAAATCCCAAAAGCAATTTCATGTATTTCTAGGCCTGAGACCTCCTTATCAGAAAGAATGAATCCTACACAATAGAAAAGACAGCATTACAACATACTAGTATTAAAATCTGCTGATGTATTTTAGTAATTACTCTACTTCATCATACCTATCATTGACACAGCCTGCCTCCTACGAACTGAAAGGTGCCATTAGGAGGCGTAGACAAAAAGTGGCTCCAAAGCTGGTTTAAAATAATTTTTATTGCCCAGGATATATTTTTTCTTGTGTCTTTTTTTGTTTTTGTTTTCTTTTTTAATAACTATAAATTCAAGCTTAGGGAAGCTTGCTTTTTTCTTGAAAAACAAAACAACAAAGCTTTTATATCATTTGCTAACCTGATCTCATTTTAAGAGCGACATGGGAGTTATCTAGTGAGGGTAAAATTTATACCATGAATGATGCAGGTCTAAGTCTGGTGGTACTAGAAGGAGACAGTAGCATTGTTGACAAAATTATAATCTGCTGGTGGCATTTGCGGAAAAGAAGCCCTTGCAAATTTCTAAACAACAGTAAACTCTGTTAGGAAAGTCTAAAGTGTCTTACAGGCCAAAGAGGGAATGAGGTTAGTAAAATGCCTCAACAGAGTCTGAATAAAATACTGGATTTGAGAGTTACTGGAACTTGGATATGTAAAAATAGGGCGGTTGGTTGGGTCATGCTTACAATGATCTCAAGTTCAAATAAACTACTGTGACAATACATCACTTCACAGGTCACACGCTTTTCCAGGGGCTTTTTTTCCCTCAGTAGGTGCTGGCAGAAGGTGTGCTCAGTCGTTTTCCAATATAGATGCTGAAAGGAAACAGAGTGCATCATGTTTCAAAGTCCTGTATCAGTTTGTCCACAGGTTGAACTCTACTTAAAAACTCAATTTTTCAGTCCTTGTAAAAAAGCTTTAAGGGTGTGTATTCACAGTTCCCTAACCCTAAAATTGTCGCTGACTTATTTGGAACTAGTCACCAGCCAGCCAAACTGGTTTTACATGATGATGTTTACTCATTAGACAGAACTGGACAGCCCATGGGCAGTGATTAACAAAGTCAAGTCAGAGAGAACAGATCTCTCCAATGAGTAAAGCAGAGCCAACCTCCTTTGAGATGTTCCTCTGTGGTGGACAGGAACTTCTACTGCTATGTCACATACAGAATATAATAATATGCTAAATTATAAAAGCTGCCATGCTTTACAGAGTGCTCTTGATAACAGCTAAACTCTTAAAGATTAAGGGCCTAATATTACTTTCCCATGTCAGGCAAGTATTTTACCTTTCATATGCATAAGGGAAGTAAAGGAAAATATGGACTAGCCTCAACCTTCAGTGCAATGAAATCAATCCACGTTTTTAAGTCCTTTTTTCTACATTCATCTACAGCAATAGTTACACTTCCATCAGTAAGAGAAACAGTTTGAAGATTCATGGAAGGAAGAGATATTGCAAGGTACAAAATCAATCTCTTGAGGGCAAATGAACTACACTGCTTAAATACTGGAGGGGAATTTAATTTCCTACCCCTGACCAATTCCATACAACACTGACATACTCCTTTCATCCACACCTTCCATTTTGCTGTTCGTAATCACTGTCCGTGCCATCACAAAACCTGATTTAAGTATGCAGAAAGACAAATGGGTATGTGGAAAAGTTGCAAATATGTTTCCATGTTGGAACTGTGAACATCTCTCCCATATGCTGAGCTCCTTAGAAGGAAGAGGAGGGATGAGGTAGCTTTGGTTATTGTAGAAAATGACCCACTGGGCATCCTTACAGAGAGTAACATGTATCTTATTTATTTATTTATTTTTTTGTGGGACCCTTGCTGGCGGCCGGGGAACGAACCAGCGCTGCAGAGGCTGCAGGCAGCCTCGCAGCCCAGTGCTCAACCGCTGTACCACCAGGGGAGGCCCAACATCTGTGTCTTAAAGAGCAGTAATAGCTAGTGCTTAATTTCTTAAATCTTTTGAAAACAGATTTCAATTGTTCAAATAAAGAAGAAAAGAAATTAAGAAGCAAATCTGAAAAATTAATGAATTACAGGTAAATATGGGATTAATTGTAGAATAAGACTCTACAAAGAGGAAAAAAAAATACCTCCCAACCGGTTTCACTCAAGGACTATTCTATATAATGTATATTTTCTCATCAACATCAACCATAAATTAATCACTAAAGATCAGTTTACTTTAACCTTTAGCTAATATTGAATAATCTATAAACAACAACAAAACCCACAAAAAAAAAATAAAACATGTAAGATCCCATTTAAAAATGATCCTTTTGGGGAATATGGGCAATATATTTTCAAATTAGAAATAAAACCTCTACTATAAAAATATCTGTCAATGTTAACAATAGTGTACCAACTTTAGTAATTCTTAAGTCCACATTATTTGCACTAAAACATTAAAAGCAAAACTGTACAATCTACTTTCATGTACATTTCTTACATGTGGAATAAAACATGAGAACAAACTGAATGGAAAAAATTTCAGAAGTTTGCCAGTACTTACCCTAGCCCCAAAGCCAAAACATGAGAAAGGAAGAGAGACGGAATGAACACCTTAAGAAATTCTGCAGAGAAAATACCCCCTTTCTTCATGGCTCCACTTTTCCTCATGCTTAAAGAAACAGAACGTTTAGGGTGCCTGAAGTGGAACTCCCTGGAGAAAGAAATTCAGATGCAGGAGTCAGCAATGCATTTGCTGAAAATATCTTGGAAATTACGAAGTCCACCGTGTCCGTGAAAGAAACATGTAAAAACTTACTTTGGTGGAATGTTTTCTGGCCTACTGGACCAGTCCGACACCCAGTCTACACTTTTCTTCAGAGCATCAGCTTCTTTCTCTCCTTCTACAACTTCTTCTTCTGACTAGAAAGAACAATTCAAACTTTAAATAAAAAAGGAACACCAATTCTTCCTACTACACGAAGACAAATCAAAGTAAATATCCAAAATCATCAGGTTGTGTGTCAGTAGTTTTTATGCACAAACATGCCATTTTTCTTAAAAGATTGACAAAATGATCTAAGAGCAGTTAATATCTAAAAAAAATATATTTGTATTTCAAAATATGTTAACTATAGTGTGGAAAACCTTGATAACTACTCAGTCTGGGAAATGCTAAAATGGATGTTCACTGCAATATTTTCTTTATTTTGTACACATTTAAAATTTTTCATAATTTAGGGCCTCCCCGGTGGCGCAGCGGTTGAACGCTGGGTTGCGAAGGTGCCCGCGGCCTCTGCAGCACCGGTTCGATCCCCGGCTGCTCCCCGGCCACCGAAGGAGGGTCCACATGGCGCGCAGACCTCTCCTGCCGCCCGCTGCTCCCCTCAGCAGTGTACCTAGGTCCTTCTGCCTGCTCTGCTCCCTGCTCTGGTGAATTCTCTCACCCTCCCGCGCTTCTGACTGTACCCAGTGCTTGTATAAACAAAAACAAACAAATAAATACAACATGCCTCTATTAAAAAAAATTTTTTTTTTCATAATTTAAATAAAAGGGAACACACCATAAAGTATATTCTAACAAACATAAGGTGATGAGAAAACATCTGGCAGGTGTGAATAATAATAGTAGTAACGGCAGTATTTACTGAGCACTACAATAAGCATCATGTTAAGCACTTTACCTGCATTAACTTTTACACCTAGCAACAACCCTAAAAATAGGAACTACTGATATTCCATTTCACAGATGAGGAAACTGAAACATAAATTAAGTAATAGCCCCAGGTTTCATAAATGGTTAGTGGCAGAGCCAGAATTTAAAGACAGGCAAACTGTTCTAAAGCCTCTCTCCGTAAGCATTAAATTTGCTCCCTGGAAGATTTTATTTTTTAGACAAATCGCTATCCAAACAGTTCCGAAGAGTTAGTCAAAACTACTTAAGTCAAACATTTCTGGGAATAATTTTATTTTTTATTTTTTTATTTATTTTTTATTTTTTTGGGAATAATTTTATACTGAATGAGAATCTAATGTCTTTTGTAGCAAATAAATGAAAAAGGAATTCCTTTTCTTGCTAATAATAACCTACAATTGCAAGCCAAGAACAAAAAGTTTCAACAGCTTCTCTTTCAATAGAACCCACAGGAATGAGAAATTCCAAAAAATGACATACTTATTTATTCAATTTTAAGGTATGTGATACTATGACCTCAAACCAGTCTCAATGTTAGGAATTGTTTTGTTATTTTGTTTGAATAGGATTTACTCTTCGACCAAAGAATTTATCCTTTTTAGTAGGTAGTTAAAAAATGCAGAGCTGGACATATCCTTGTGATTCTTTTTTGATAAGGTCTAGTTCTCTTTGAAATAGCTGCTGAAGGAAGGCAGCTTCAGATAATAAAAGGGCGCTTCTGGATCCAGAGACTATCAAAATGAAAGTAAAACCCTCATGGATTTTTGCTAGTTTGGTGGTATCATTCTTATTTGCTGGATTTGACAAATTCCACTGGAAGACACGATGTAATCTTTACTATTAAGTATTTTCCATTGGATATTGAGATTACTCAGAATTATGAGTTGACTCCTAGAGTAACTCTGGAAATATCCTAAATCAAAAACAATTGTTATTTGTTTATAGATCAGTTTGTATACACACACTATCTGACAATAGTCAACACACTGTAGGCCGATATTCTTTACATAAGGCTCACTTTCTGAGTGAAGAAAAGTAATCTGTGGACTATTTTATATATCTGTATCTATGTAGATATAGATCTAGGTATATGTCCATATAGAGATATAGATATATTTTAAGTCCCAGGTCAGTTTAGAGTATTTACCTTAAGAATAAGAATTATAAGCTCTCTTCATTTTCCAACCTGTGCTTGCTTTTCTTAATCTTAAATTTGTCAGTTTTCAGGTTTTAAATTGCCTTCTGATTCTTGGGATTCCAGAATATGGTAAAAAGGACTTATTTCATTAAGACTTACGCTTTTTAACTGAGTCAATAATCCTCTCCCACACCTACATCTATTTAGATAAAAGATATTGAGGATTTTAGAATATTCTCTTGTGGAAGTCCCCTTACCATCTAATCATTTACATGTTTATTCTCTAGTCCACCTCAGGTTCTCTTAGGTCTCTAACATGGCTATTGAAATATACACTATGGTCTCCGTATAGATAACCACAGTTTTACTCAAGGGAAAAGTAGGACATTTTCAGTCTGTATCATCTTCCAATGATACCCAAAATTATGCTAGTTTTTCGCTCCCAGAAACAGTGCAAAAATAACAGTAAAATACAACCTACAGGGCCTCCCTGGTGGCACAGCGGTTGAGCACTGGGTTGCGAAGCTGCCCGCAGCCTCTGCAGCGCGGGCTTGATCCCCAGCTGCTCCCCAGCCACCGGAGGAGGGTCCCACACGGCGCGCAGACCTCTCCTGCCACCCGCTGCTCCCCTCAGCAGTGTACCTAGGTCCTTCTGCCTGCTCTGCTCCCTGCTCTGGCTCTGGTGAATTCTCTCACCCTCCCGCGCTTCTGACTGTACACAGTGCTTGTATAAATAAATCTTTTAAAAAAAGAAAAACAAAAAAAAACACAATCTACATTTTACTTTGTGCTACAAAACTGAGATTTTTCAGGACTATCCTCAAAAAGTATAGCCTGAATGCTCCTTTTCCTAAATGAATTACTTTAGATTTTCTTATACCATAACTCTCTGGACATGTTTTAATTTATTCTCTCAACACTGTCTGCTCTCTTGACTCATATTCATTGAGTTATTTTAGCGGGAATAAGGAAACACAGGCTCAGAGGACCTTTTTTCACCGCTAGCTCTATCAATTACTTGCTTTGAGACCACAGGTAAGTAACTTAATTAGGACAAAACTTCGCTTTCCCCATTTGTTCATGAGGACAGTACAGCATCTCCTTCACTGGATTGAGAGCAATAAAATTGGGGAAAGCTTTTTTCAAAAAAAATTTATCTTGTGATCTATTGAAAACTAGCCTTCAACACAAGGGTTTGTGTAAAGATAAAAGAAAGAAAATAAAAATTAAAAAAACAAACAAACCCATTAAATGTAGCACCAAGAATGTACCTATTAACTTTCAGAGCCTCTCCTTCCTTCTCTAAATCTGGAAATGTCACTTATTCCTCATATACATATACATAAATATTCAATAAGGGCAAGTACCATCACAGTATTTTGTTAAGCTGTTTTTTTTTTTGTTTTTTTTTTTTAAATAGAGGCATGTTTTTATTTATTTATTTGTTTGTTTGTTTGTTTTCACATGCACTGGGTACAGTCAGAAGCACGGGAGGGTGAGAGAGTTCACCAGAGCCAGAGGGGGAGCAGAGCAGGCAGAAGGACCGAAGTACACTGCTGAGGGGAGCAGCGGGCGGCAGGAGAGGTCTGCGCGCCATGTGGGACCCTCCTCCGGTGGCCGGGGAGCAGCCGGGGATCGAACTGGCTCCTCGGGCGCGGGCAGCTTCGCAACCCAGCGCTCAACCGCTGCGCCACCGGGGAGGCCCCTGTTAAGCTGTTTTTAACTATTTTATAATCCCAAATTTGCTTCTAATTTGTGGGGGAAAAAAACTAATCTCCCACCTTAAACTACTGTTTCTTCAGTCAAAAATAAAGCAATGTAAAAGGCTTTTTGAAAGTTTAAATTATACCTACTAATATCTCCCTGATTAAAAGTCCTATTCCAAACTGGTATGTTTTTCTTATAGGAATTAAGATTGCCTTTCCAAAAATGTAAGCTTGTTTGAGCTGACTGATCTTATCGTTAGTACTGCTTACCCAAGGCTTGATAACCAGTGTTCAATTAGGTACTCACTAAAGAATCACAGTAGCAATCCTACCATAATCTGTCATGGAGGCCAAAAGTCTTACATTTTCCTTCAAAAATTTCTCTGGAATTCGAGATGGATGCAGTCAGCTCTAGAATTCTGCCTAAACTCAATGACCAGTAAAGCCTAACTGCATACCTGCCGCTCCATGAGCCAGGGCAGCACTTATCAAAGTGTTCCATCAGGTCACCAGGGAGGACCTTAAGGAGTGTACGTATGTGTGGAAGAGCAGTGAGGTGAATGTCAAAAAACTTTGTGAAATACTTGGTTTAAATAAACACATTTCAAAGAATAAATAAACAAACACATTTCTTTACTACTACAGGAATTGTCAGACTTTCATATGCTACTCTGAACTGTGACTACTGGGGTAGAAGACTGAGATATAGCCCAAGGACTACGTTATTCTCCACTTATCTGAATTCAGCACTATCTCATGTAAACGTTCCTCAAAACACATTTTGCCAGTATCGATTTTCAACTTGTCTATAGCAAAGATAGTCTGAATTCAGTTCATCTTTCTCAGGCAAGACTATACCAAAGAGTTATTTCATTTCTCTATCTTGGGGTTTCTTAGTATACTTTTGGCCATGGAATTTTATAGTCTCTCTTTTTCGTAAGTCATAGCTTACTGTACATGGCAGCACTGACATAAGCCAGCAATTAAACAATTCCAGTCAGACATCTTCTGACATGAGAGTCTCACCACCCTAAGCTTCTCTATGATATGAGGTTCATCGTAAAATAAATTTGTAGTCAATCCCACAGATTTTCTAGGTTTCAAAGAACAACACAAATAGAGCACAGAGACAGTAGGGAGAAACTGTGCAGCCTTCTGAAACAAAGAATATTGGGGTGGATCCAGGATAACATGCAAAATACTAAAAAATACATTTTTAGTGGAAAGGGATTGAGGCCATTGTCACCTCACAAAACAAAGTTAGAATTCATTTAAACATTCACTCAACAAATATTCTCCGTAACACTGGAGAGAAAGACAATTAGTCCTGCCTTCAAAAATTTGTATTCTGGCACTTTTACGTGACCTGACATCAAAAAATTAATGGCTGGGTATGAAGTTCCTAACAACATTTTACGTATAAATTTTTATAATAAATACCTTTGTAAACTTTCAATACTACATCCATCTACATTTTCAACATCAACTCCATGTGAACTATATTTATCTTTCAACTTAAGAAAACTTACTTAATTTAAATGAATTTTATCTCTCCCTGTTGAAATTCATCTCAAAAGTCATTGCTTTGATTCCAGAGTCAGAAAAAGCTTTCTTTCACAGCTGGTTCTAAAAACACATTCATTTTCATTTATTTTGTGAACTTGAATAAAACAACTGTCCCAATTTCTCTATTGATTAACTCAAGAAGCAAGTCTACAATATTGGAATGACACATTACACAGACAAGCATTTTCTAATTCATTTGGAGTGACGAAGGTCCAAGATCTTAGTCATAAAGCAAACATACCTATGTCATCCAAAACAAATTCCAAAATCATAAACTGAGTAACTTAAAAGTTTCAAACTATTTTTTAAAAGTCTTACCTTTTAGTTATTTTAGCAAAACATGGTTATTTAAAAATGTACATTTTCCTAATTATTTATTGTAAATCAAATACACACACACACCTGAGAGCTATGGTCCCTGCTGGTGTGCATTTCCACATCAAACATAATCTGCCCATCTTCTTGTGGGGAAGGGCTAAAAAAGAAATAATTTAGCCATTAGTTTTTATTCTCATTTTGTCAAATAAATGAGGCCATGCTGGAAATTAGAAAATGAAAAGTTATACTAACATGATTCTGCAAAGGTAGCACATCAAAAATGTATCATAACTCCCTGTAAGAAAAAATTAAATTGAACACTCTTACTCCCAAAATGTTCTGTAACTTTTTTGTGGTGATGAATTTCCTTGCAATAATAAATCTACAAAGGAAGTACTGCCTAAAGATACTAAAGTGCCACACTTTCTTAGTTTTATTCATTTTCCAATAAAGATAAAATGATCTTCAAATTGAGAAACCCAGTTTGGAGTTCTTTTACTCAAAATTTTTTACCATTAAATTATTCACCACCAGCAGTTCTAAAAGTGCGAAAACAATTTACACAAAGACTCAAAGGTTAGGATTAATTTGCCTCTTTCATTCTCATTCTCTCATGACTGTATACCTTACATCATGTGTGGTATTAAAATGGATTGAGTTGAAAATGCAGGTAAGAATCCAGCTGCTTCCTATTAAACCAAATATTAAAGATATTTGCAGAAATATAAAATAATGCCATTATTCTACCAATCTTTTTGGTACAGAAAAATAGTAAATTCTTAAGTTTTAAAACTTACTCATGTTAAACTGTAATGAGTTTATTATTATTTTTTTTTTGAGTTTATTATTTTTTAATGACTACATATTTAAAAATTATATTATTTTAAAATGTCAGTTTTCTTTTCTTTTTTTTTCAGTTTTATTTTCTAACATGGTATATATCAAAATGTAAAAACTACATTAACAGGGTCTCCCTGGTGGCGCAGGGGTTAAGACACAACCTTTGAAGCAATCTGCAGCCACTGCAGCACAAATTCAATTCCCAGCCCGCCAGGGAGAAACCCACATGGCGGGACAGAACTCTCCTGTCTCACCCGCTGCTCCCCTCAGCAGTATACTTCCATCCTTCTGCCTGTTCTGTTCCCTGCTCTGTCTCTGGTGAATCCTCTCACCTCCCCCCCGATCTCTGGCCTGTACCCCAATTCTTGTATAAAAATAAATAAATCTTAAAGAAAAAAAAACTACATTAACAAAAATCTTTGGGAGCTCTGATAATTATTAAGAATAAAGAAGTACTGAGATAAAAAAGTCTGAGAATCACTATTCTATTTATTTGAAAAATATTTGCTTTGAGGTATTTCAAGGTGAATTATATACCCTTATACATGTATGTAATCTTTAATGAAAAGTAGAAAATATATTCCCATAACATGCAGACAAATTTTTAGACAAAAAATACAAGATCACGAATTGTACTTAACATAATAGATGACTACAAAGTGCTAGGTTCTAGTCTTAGGTTCATTAATGATTACTTCTGTAACTATGGCAAGTCATCACTATACATCCCACATGTAAACTCAAGTAGGGATGAAAAAAAGGCTCTACCTGCTCAAAGATTACAGTTACCTAAGGCACGTAAAATATGGCCCAGGCATCTAATTGACATATTTCCTTAAATAGGAAAAAGGAAAAGCTGGGTCAATATAAAACAAAATACTAATAAACTTAGAAAATCTTGTCTTGAATTAGAAATCTCAGGCTTGGGCCTCCCTGGTGTCCTAGGGGTTAAGTCTCAGTGCTATTACCACCAAGGCCTGATATCGATCCCCAGCCAAGGAGCAAACCTCCCTATTGTGCAGCAGACCTCTCCTGTCTTGCTTGCTGCTCCCCTTAAATCTGCCTGCTGTTCCCCACTCTGTCTCTGGAGAATCCTCTCACCCCCTACGCCTCTGACCTTCACCCCAGTTGTTCTCTGCAAAAACAAATAAAAATTAAAAAAAAAAAAAAAAGGTATCTAAGGCTTATAGCACAGGAACCAAGTACAATGAGGCACTCTTCTTATCTCAGTCTTCTGTCATGCTCAAAACACAGGTGGGTTCGCTGTCAAGAGACCAAGTTGAGGGCCAGCGTGACACAGCTATGACCAGATCAAGGCACTAGAATGACAAAGTCAAGAATCTACAGAAGCACTAACCTACTTCTACACTCTGCTTTACCACTAGCACACCAATCTCATTTAAAAAAATACTAAATATTTCACAAGTAAACTGCTGACTACACATTTCTAACAAACTTGGTTCATATTAGGAACAGTTACAGAGCTTTTAAAATAGTCTCATGTCTCTACCCAACCCTGACAACAGACTGAGGGTCTTCAGGGATGGAATCTGCGCACAGGTACTCTTGAAAGCTCCTTGGCTGAATCGAGTGTGTAGGTTAAAAACAACTACAATAGGGTGAAACACAGAGCAAAAACACAGAGTGTTTTTAGTATATCTAAAAACAACAGAGTGGGCAGCGGTTGAGTGCTAGGCTGTGAAGCTGCCCGCAGCCTCTGTGGCGCCGATCCCCGGCCACCAGTGAGGGTCCCACATGGCGCACAGACCTCTCCTGCAGTGCCCACTGCTCCCCTCAGCAGTGTACTTCAGTCCTTCTGCCTGTTCTGCTCCCCGCTCTGGCTCTGGTGAATTCTCTCGCCCTCCCGCGCTTCTCACTGTACACAGTGCTTGTATGAATAAATCTTTTTTTTTTTTAAAAAAATAAAAACAACAGAGTGACAAAAATGTATCTATGGAATACTTTTTAATTGAAAATATACATAAATTAGCTATGGAATTAATATCCGACAATCACAACACTTTTCCAACAAGAAACACTTCTGAACAATTACAAATATATTCATGGACTTTATATGATTTTGAAGACATTTTCAAATCTTAAGAGTGCATGAGTCAGGTATCTCAGAGGAATATTGCTGAGCTAAGAGTTTTAGTTCTCTTCTGAAAGGTGACCAGAAATGCAGTGAAAAGACACATAAGCTGACAGGAATGTGGTCAAAAGTACTTGCCAGATCTCTCACCACATGTTTAGAAACCTAACTTAAACATGATTGTGAAGTGGTGAATTCACATTCAATGTCAAGTGTAACTGCAATCATATACGAAAATGATGACCAGACAGGCAGGTAGGTGGCTGTTTCTCTGTTCAACAACAGCTCAAGTGGACAACAGTTTCACTGGTAACAATGACGAAGGGTCATGGACCTTCAGTAGGTAGTAAAAACCTTATCAACAGGCCCATAAACAAGCAAAAAACTTCAGAAACCCACCATTTAAATGTAAAACTATAAATCTTCATTCTGAAACACAGACTAATGCTGTAGCTACTGGGGTCAATGGCAAAGTCCTCAGAAAAGAGACATCTGCTCTGCTCTGCTTCTGCTTCTGCCAAGAGACACCCCAGGCTCTAGGCAGCACAGAGAAAAGTGAGAGGTGAGATGGAGGGCAAGAGTGTGCGGGGTCACCTAGCCAGCAAACCAGTCCTCTATGGTCTTGGTAACATTAGAGGATCATAAAGCAGGAATGTTGAACAAGATTATTCTGACAGTTACATATATAATTTTTACAAAGTACAAAAATATCCAGAAGAAAAATATACAAAAAAAAACCACCCTCTTATCGCGTAGAAATAGTCGAGATTTATATCTTTAAATATCTTCTTAATCATTTTCTACAAGGCTAATAAGAGTTAACTCTTAATTAACCAGAAGATCATCCAAGTACCCTGGTTGTTACTGGTCTAAGATCTATAAAATATATCACTATGACATTAACATCTAGTCTCTCTAAAATACAGAAAAAGGAGAACTAACAACTCAGTTACACTCTACTAATATATATCTCTATATTCTCATTCCTTACCATAAGCAGTCATTAATCAGTAAAAATAGTGTCCCCAAATCAAATATTAAAAAATAAGGTCTGAAATAAAGCTTCCTCTAAAAACTCCAAATGGTCTTTAAAATTAACGACCTTTGCAGACCTTGCACAAATATTACTATCAATTGAGTTAGCTGCAGTTCCCATCATCCCAACTTTACCGAGTGTTCACAATAGGTGCAAACCATTGCTCTGAAGGGAACAGAGGAGATGAAACATGACCCTGCCCTCTGGAGGCTCATGGGGAGAAGGACTGATGGACATATGCAGAGACAGCTGTGTTCAAGGCAGAATGTAGTATGTAAAACAGGGACATAAAGGACATAAGAAAATGGGAGAAAATTTCACTAATTCTATAAAAATAAACATTTATGTCATTGAGGTTTAAGCATAAATATCTTAAAATGATATAATCTAAATAAAACTACTATATAACCTGGGGACGAATGGTGGATACTCAAGAACAGGTCAATTAGCTGTCTGGCTTAATTATACACATTGCAATAAATCAGGAGTTACATTTTGTTCAATAAAAATATAAACAAATTTATTATTTAATGAGAATGAGTCTTATAACCCACCTGTTTCCAGAATTCTATCAAAACATGGATCTCACCCACCTGTCACAGTGAGAACTGCCTCTTGAACTACTCTGTCCCGATTCATGTTGTGCATCTAGAAGGATCTTCTCCATGTCTCCATTGTGGATGGAGGACGAGGAAGGCACATGTTCCAGACCCCCATTTTTCCCATTGCCATTATCATTTCCGTTGCTGCTATTCATGGGTAGCTCCACCCAGGAACCTGTTGGACAAGTCAGATAACTTAAGTTAACCACAGCAAAACTGAAACCTGTCATGTGCACACAGATGTGACTATGAGGAATTCAGATAAGAATTTGGACTCACTTGGAACCAAATGCAAAAGTATCCTGAAACAAATAAATTAGGAGCAATGAAAGTCTAAAAATCTACATATTTCTGTTCCAGAAATAGTTCATGCAATCAACCAACTCTAAGAACCAAACAAATCTGGAACTCTAAAACTAGTATCTTAGAAAATGTGTCTTCAATTTTCCTTTCTGGTTAAAATTTAGTTTATACACAATAAATACCATACAGAAAACTCTGAAGTTGCTTTTCACAAAAATAAAGAGCTACTTTACTCTAAGATATGCCACCAACTTTTTATATTTCAATTTTATATATTATAGAGTTAACATATTTTAAAATTTTCCTGTAGTTTACCGCAGCTATAGTTGTATCCTTCCCACAAATGAAATAAACACATGCTTAGAAACTTCATAGAGGCCATCTAAATAAGTCAACAACTATATATTTATTAGTACCAACAACTGAGAAGCTCCTAGGAAGGTGACTTAAATCAAATCAATTTCAATTTGTATACAAATCTGGAGCATGAGTACAGCTGGCACTTACCTAAAATCAAGTTGTAATATAAAAAGTTCTGAAAAAACTTTACCTCTATTCCACAAACTAGTTTCTTCCTTTCCTTTCTACCTCGCTCTTCCTATTCTTTCTGCCTTTTCAATGCACTGAAAATACCTTGTGAACTTGTCTTTCCACTCTTCTCTCCCACGAGTTCCTATTTTCTAGGGATTTCCATGAAGCTTCGTTTGCTTGGGGCAGAAAACAATTGTGCATCTGCCACAGGCACAGGAGAACAGAAGTTTTCTCAGGCAAACAGTTGAAGTGGGTGGAGCTACAGGAAAGGGGACGTGGCACTAGTAATTTGGATACGTCTTGAAAATATTTATTGGCTCGAGGAGTCTGCTGAACCCATTAGTTGCTTTAATTTTAATAAGAATTGATTAACAGTGGCCAATAAACCAACACCACAACAAAAAGACACAATGGTATACTTTTTCTATAATTTTCATTACTAACAATAAATTTTCTTTTAGAAAATGTTCACCCAAGCAGACTGGGGTGATTATTCCTCCAAAACTGCAGAAGCATTAGAAAGAACAGTCTTCCATCAAGTACATCAGAATAATCACCAAAACAGGCTCAAATCCCAAATGTACTCTAAATGAGGTGATGATTATTTCAGATTCAGAAGTGAACTTAACCTCTGTATATGAAGGAAAAACTCAATGGTAGATCTGGTTGGAAATCTGACTCCACCACTTACTGTCTGTGTGACTTTCTGGACTTCAGTTTCCTCATTTACTAAACAAAGATAATAACAGAGTACCTACCTCCCTGGGATGCTGTGAGGATTAAATATAAGAGGATAGATAAGGGCCTCCCCGGTGGCGCAGCAGTTGAGCGGTGGGTTGCGAGGCTGTGCGCGGCCTCTGCGGCGCCGGTTCGATCCCAGGCTGCTCCCTGGCCACCGGAGGAGGGTCCCACATGGCGCGCAGACCTCTCCTGCCGCCCGCTGCTCCCCTCAGCAGTGTACTTCGGTCCTTCTGCCTGCTCTGCTCCCCGCTCCGGCTCTGGTGAATTCTCTCACCCTCCCTCCCGCACTTCTGACTGTACCCAGTGCATGTAGAAACAAAACAAACAAACCAGCAAACAAATAAATAAAGCATGCCTCTATTAAAAAAAAAAAAAAAGAGGATAGATAAGGTCCTAGTAAACTGGAGATGCTCAGTTATACACCAGCTAAGAGTTTATATTTGTAAAGTACTTAGAACAGTGTTTGCTAAATAAAAAAAAGTTACTCTTTCCTTCCTTTCCCTCCAAAGCAGTCCCAGTAGTTGTCACAGTCCCAGTAGTTGTCACAGTCCCATAATCACCACTAATTTTTTGGGATTAGTCTGCTAAACAACACTTTTATGATGTCTCCATGGTTTCACTGCATACACACAAAGTGGGCACACAGTCGATCGAACCTGAAATAGATTAACAAACTCAACTAGCAAAGCTACAGCAGATCTGACACTGAAGGTAATTTAAATATTTGGAGTGCCTGTGGAGTGTACATGAAATGTGCCAAAGCCTCCCTAAACTTAGAGATCTGCAAAATATTTTTAACTGGGCAGAGAGAAACAGAGCAAGGGGTATAGGGTAAACTTTTTCTCTTACTCTCAGAGTTTCCAGGAGTTTCAAATTTATTTTAAACATATGATGGATCTTATACAGAAAACCCAATGTGTAAAATAAAAACAAACAGAAGACAGAGATGCCCTGCAGAGGCAGAAGTACGGAACCAGGAGTTTCACTATGGGTGTCTGGGGAAGGCAGTCTTCCCTAAAATGTAATTTATGTTCACGTGAAGTAACTGATCAAAGAAGAAAAAAGCTGTTTTACAGTATCAGGCTCTCTGGACCTAGGAATTTGAAGAGGCATACTAGAAAAGCTTACTGAAAGTTATCTTTCTAATTACCTTCTTATACTCTGTAACATTTATTTCAAAAACTTATTTCTTGAAAATGTAAACACTAGCATGTAAAGTAAACATACATTTTCTTCAAACCAACTATTTCAACTTCCAAAGGAAACCACTTTCAAAAGTTTCATATGTAGGGGCCTCCCCGGTGGCGCAGCGGTTGAGCGCTGGGTTGCGAGGCTGCCCACAGCCTCTGCAGTGCCGGTTCAATCCCCAGCTGCTCCCCGGCCACCGGAGGAGGGTCCCACATGGCCACAGACCTCTCCTGCCGCCCGCTGCTCCCCTCAGCAGTGTACTTCGGTCCTTCTGCCTGCTCTGCTCCCTGCTCTGGCTCTGGTGAATTCTCTCACCCTCCCGCGCTTCTGACTGTACCCAGTGCTTGTATAAATAAATAAATTAAATTAATCTTTAAAAAAACACACACAAAAAACCCAAAATAAAAACCTATCTTCTTAAAAAAAAAAAAAAGTTTCATATGTAAATTTCTAGTTTTCCCCAAATATATAGCTTTGCTTTTGTTTTTATTTAAGATTTATTTATTTATGCATACAAGAACTGAGGTACAGGCCAGAGGTGTGGGATGAGAGGATCCACCAGAGATAGAGTGGGGAACAAAACAGGCAGACTGACTGAAATACACTGCTGAGGGGAGCAGTGGGCGAGTCAGAGGTCTGCTGTGCCATGTGGGGTAGTTCCCTGGCCAGGTATCGAACTAATGCTACAGTAGCTGTGGATTGTTTCATAGGTTACGTTAACCCCGCACCACCAGGGAAGCCCTGTTTCTGTTTTTATAACAAAATGGATCATACTGTAGATATTTTTCTGTAAGAAGCATTTCTTATCTAACTTGTGGATGCCTTTCAATGTCAATATTGTCTTTTGAGCAACTACATTGCATGCCATCATAAAGACATGCCATACTTTAACTGTTAGCCAAATGGCAACAGTTACCACTCACCATAGGATTGTTTCTAATATTTTGTTATTATAATCAGTGAACAATCTGGAGGGTAATGTAGCAAAGCCTTAGAAACTTAGATATCCTTTAACTCAACAATTCTCTTCCAGGAATACCACCAATGGAAATAAACAGTGCTGCACACAGATATTCATTATGAGGCAACATGTTAGCTTCCTTTTAAGAAAAATGGGAGAAGATGCCTTTTTCTCATCACCTAGTTCATTCCTGATTTTCAGTTTAATAATTTCTTAATGTTCTAACTCTACCAATCCTCAGTGTCCCCTTTGACTTGGAAAGGAAACAAGGCAAGATATGATGATTGTGCTGTCCAAGCAACACAAAATTAAAAAAAAACTCAACATGAAATCTCCTCCTAATATTAAAAAAAAAAAACTAAGGCTATCTCAATTATACTGAAAGACTATGTCCAAGCTGAAAACATTTCTCTTATGCCAGATATTACATATGCACAATACAGGAGCAAATTCCTAGTTAAGTCTTTGACAATTGCTAAGAGATTGAAAGAAGCATACTTCTACATTCTCTAATACAGCGTATATGTAAGGTTGGTCCATTAGCTGTGACCACATTCAATGACTGTAGGCTGAATTATACTCTTTATAGCTTTAAAACCATTAGTTCAATTCTCTTGCAAGAAGAGAAGTCAGGAGAGCTGGGGTTTGAGGGAGGAGAGAGAAAAAGAGCTTTTCTAATTTTTTCCCCCAACTTTTCAAAGTTATAACTTTTATCCTAACCAGTGATGATATATTTCATTATGTCTTATTTTCTTTCCTCAAAGCCTATATTTTATTTCAAATATCTGATGCTGGAGTTCAGACCTGGAAGAGTCACTGACACTGTTATTATTTTTTTAAAAAAATTGTCCTTTATTTGCACAAGTAGGGACTTACACACCAATTACTTACATATTCAAAACTTAAAACAGTATTTGTAGATACTGAAATTTCACCTCACAGACTTAAAAGTCTTCTTGCTGTATGGGAAAAACAAATACATAATGGCTAAAGAGTTACAAAAGGAAAAAAAAATGACTGTAGCTCTGACATTAAACAATGCGAAGAATTATACTATTATTTTGACTTTCCTTATACCAGTTATTGAATTTATGACATGTCCTATACAACTAGTCTTAAGTAATGGTAATTTTCTAAGAATTGGAAACCTGAAAATGTCCTTTTCACCTTGAAAAGAAGTAGTTCAGATATTTGTCTACTAATCTGGAGTGAAAGTGAACAGTTCCCCTAAAATGGTAAACTGGAAAAAAATTGTATTATTCTTCCAAATTTTTCAATAAGCTGCTATTAAAACTGTGCTATGACCCCTGACCTAAAGATAAAATCCCAAGTGAGATAATCTGTACAATGAGTTCATCTCCTGTTTTTCATAGTTGTGGAACTTCATCCAACAAAGAACTTCAACTTATCAGCAATTTGGACAGTATCGGACGCCTGAATAAGTTGTTTTGCTCAATGCCCAAAAATCACTTGACTCAGTAAGACTTGTATTGTCCAGTCCAGTTGTATAAGTAGGTAAAAAACAGTGTAAAAGGAATGAGGGGAGTAATTAAATATTGCAGGATCTGAAAACACTCCAGTAACTATAAAAACTCACACTACTCCAAATAAATCACTTTGTATCTAGCCAATTTCCCAGAGGAACATTTTAGTATCAGGCTAAGTGTTCTTCACTTCTGTAGGAGCTAATATAAACAAAGCAGAGCAACTGACTGGCAGAGAACATCACATACCCTACAGACTTGTCAGACATGGAGATAAACAATCACATATAGCTCACATACTGCTTTTTTGTGGTAAAATGACAAAGGAAAAATTAAAATCCTTTCGCTTTCTGTGAATTCATGTATACATACTAACCAATAGCTAGCCTGTAAGTATCACAGGAAAGTACTGAGTACAAATAAGACAGTGTATTTAAAAAAAGAGAGGCAGGACACCTGTACATGAGGTGGAATAACATACAGAAAGAATAAAAAACATACGTAACTAGGGGGTTCTGAGCCACTGAAAACAAGTGTCCTGAAAGAAACACTGGACTGGGTAAAAGTAAAGATCTCCACTTAGGGGAGGTGAACTTGAACACACTTTACTCTAGACTCGTTTAATAATGGGGTACTGATTTCTAAAGTCTCTTCCCATTCAAAAACCCCATGATTCTAAGAGGCTATGCCAAAAATGAGTAAATAATTTAAGAATGTATAGCAATACGTGAAACAAGCTCCATTTAAAGGCACAAATAAATCCTAACAGCATACGAAATAGTATGTAAGTTTTACATTCTAGAAGACAGTGTTGGAAAAAAATCAACACTTAAGGAAGTTAGCCATCAAAAGATGAAGTCATAACAAAAAGTAATGAAAACATGTTAAAATACTCAAATTCTATCTTCATCTTGTAAGGACAGAAACTCTCTTCTCCAAAATAATTCTTAGGCCATGCTGAAACACCAAGCTCTTAAGAAAGCTATTGCAACGTGTTTAAGTGACCTTTAAGCACCCAAAAGATTTTTGAACGATTTCATCAGGCCATATGCTAACTGTCCCAACTACCTCTTTCACATGAAATGAATTACAAAAAGATTGGGCAAGAACCCTTCCAAGAACACCCTGAGCTCTAACCAGATTTAAGAATACTCTTAGGACAAGACGTCTGAGCACCAGAATGTTCTGAAAAGCAACTGTAGTTGGTGGGAACTCACATACTACCCGTTAACTTCCAATCGTTCGTGTGTGACTGTTTTCAACCCCGTTTCTAAAAAATCCACCGGCCCAGACACCGTGATTTGTGCAACCTTGTATGTGGTTCAAGGGGCTGTTCACAGACAGACCGACAGGGCATACAACCCCACCGTATAACATAATATACAAAAAAAAAATCACTTGAGCAACTCAGAAAAACCTCAAAAAAAAAGTGGCATCTCCTCAACCCCATACACGATACAAGTAACCACTGAAACACCAAATAATTCTCCTGACCCGCCCGTGCTAACAAAGGAACCCAAACAGAGGGTTCAGGCTCCCGGCCCGGCGGGGTAGCCGACCCGCTGGGTGGGGTCCCCCGGCCTCGACCCCCTTCCCGCCGCCCACCGGCCCCCGGCGGTCCCCGGCCACCCCCTCCCCTGGGCGGGCCGCCCGCGTCCATCCCCCGGCGGCCCAGCCGCACGTCCCCATCCCAGCCCACGTCCCCTCCGCCGCCCGCTCCGCCCACCCGCGCCCCAAGGCCCGCCCTCCACGCCCCGATTGGCTCCGCTCCGGGGCCCACCACAGGTGGGATCGGCCCATGCCCCCCGCCCCACGCCACCGGCCCTCCACACCCGCGAACCCCAGCCGTGCCCAGCCCGCGACCCCAAGAGGGCGACGAGACCGGCCGGGAGGAAGACAGAGCATCTCCTCCTGACAGGTGACGGGAGCTGTCAGTCACCCGCACATCCTCCGCCCTGACCAATGGGCTGCCTTCTCCTCCCGCCCCCAGCGCGGAGCTGGCGGCGGCGGCCGGAGCGGCTCCTCCTCCCCCATCCCCTTCCCCGAGCCCGCCCGCCCGCCCGCCCAGCACTCACTGTTGAGGCCGGCTGGTGGGGGCAAGGACTGTTCGCCTTCCTCGCAGTTGTTGTTGTTGTTGTGCAGGGGCGGTGGTTGCTCTACTAAGTGAGACGACATCGTCGGGCGGCTGGAGGAGCTGCGGCCACAGCGAGACTGTCTCCGGCTCTCGGGCAGCAACACAACAAGCCGAGTCCCCCGCCCCCTTGTCTGCGCCTGCGCAATCCCGCCCCTGCCACTGACGTCAGGACACGCCCGGGCCACGTGATGACAACACAACAAGCGACGGGGCGGGGCGCGGAGGGGGCGTTCCCAGGCGGGCCACGGACGTGGGGACGCGGCCGTCACGCTGACGCGCGCACTAGGTATGAATTGTTGCGTGTCATCCGTGCTCGCCCGATGGAGTGAGCGCAGCGAATGGAGTGGGGTAGAGGACGGGGCGAACGGTGTGAGGAGGAAGTGGGAGGAGCTAACGTGTGGCGCCCAGTCTCCTGCGCCTACCGGAGAGTCGTGGTTTCACCCGTGGGCGTTTCTTTTTAAATATCAGTCAGGACTCGCCTCGGTAGGTGGGTGTCGTGGTCACCCCAAAGAAGCAAAAGCCCCGGTGCCTCCCCGGCTGAAACCTAAAAGTTGGTGAAAAATTAACACTCCAAACAGGGAACAGTATAAAGCAGGCCAGACCAGTTGTTAAAGATTTTCAAAAATTTTAATTAATAACGTAACGTGCCATCATTGTTAAAAAAAAAAAAAAAAAAAGGAAATTTTAGGAAATCAAGAGAAAATAATCACCCAAATCCTAACACCTAATTTATTTCTGGAACATGACGTGGGAAGCCGTTTTCCTGTATGTGGGTGGCCCTGAACTACCTTATGTCCTAAACACCGTCTACTTCAAATCTCCAGGTCTTTGATTTTTCTGATTTTGTGCGGCCTGTATTTCTCTGATTGTCACTTGTCTTTTAACTTTGTTTCGTGTAAATCAAAAGTAATCTTCTATAGTTTGGGAAGACCCTGATACCCAAGTTGTGAATCTATATACCCAATGACTTTTTCTAATTTTCTTACAGGTTCTATGTTTAGACTCCATCCAGCTGAAATTTATGTTTGATATGTTGTCAATTTATTTAACTTTAATTCTTCCCAATTGAGTAGTCGGTCTTTCCAACAGCATTTGTTTTTTTTTTTTTTTTTTTTTCCAACAGCATTTGTTTTTTAGTTAGCCTTTCCATAGTAATTTGAAATTGCATTTTATTATTATTATTATTATTATTATATAATTTTTTTATTATTATTAGATAACTATTAGAGAAAGTTTCTCTTCATTTGTCTTTAAAAGATTTTTTAATGAATAATTTCTCCAGATAAAAGTTGACTTATCAAGGGGAGGAGGAGGGAGAGGGATTAGAGGGAGGGAGGGAGGCGCTCAGGGGACTGAGGTGATGGTGCACGGGTGCCTTGGGGAAGGAAATTCTATGGGGACTCAACCTGAGGGGGTGGGGGGAAGCAAATATTGTTTAAAAAAATAAATTAAAAAAAGATAATATAAATTTAAAAAATTAAATAAAAAAAGTTGACATGGACCATGTGCTTGTAATTATTGAAAGTAGATGATGGATACATTAAATTATTCTTATAATTTTCAAATATACTTTAAAAATTCCATACTGGAATTTACCCAAAGGACACAGAAACATCAATTCCAAAGAACACCTGCACCCCTATGTTTATAGCAGCACTGTTTACAATAGCTAAGCTTTGGAAACAGCCCAAGTGCCCAAAAAAATAGATGATTGGATCAAGAAGATGTAGTACATATACACCATGGAGTATTACTCAGCATTCAAAAAAGATAAACACATGCAATTTGCAGCAACATGGATGGCGCTGGAAGGGATCATGCTCAGCGAAATAAGCCAGAAAGAAAAAGAAAAATACCGGATGGTCTCACTCATAGCAGGAATCTAGAAAACTTAAATAAGGGACCAGGAAAATGAATAACTATAAGAAAGTAAAAATCAAAATCAACAAAAAACTATGAACCAGAGACACTTTTTGGGGGTGGGGGGCGGGAGGGGAGGGATTGGGGTCAGAATGGGGGGGTTGCAATTGTATGGGGAATATAAAAATAAAATTTATTATTTAAAAAAAAAAAAGAAATATGAGTCTTGACATTAAAAAAAAAAAATCCTTACTGGAAAGGTTTTTTAAAGGATCGAATTGTCAAATCCTATTGCAAATCCTTTCACTGTTTTAGTAAGAAATGTATTCAATTGCTAAGATAAATGATATTTATAGAATCATCTTTCTATTCAGGACTGTGATAACCTACTTATTTTTATTAAAGTTTTACAAGTTAATTCTTTAAAAAGATCCTAAACATTTTATCTTTTTTGAGTTTTAGCATAATCGTTCATTTTACAAAAAATACTTAAAAGTGAGACAGGGCAAGCTAGGGTTATTAGGCAGTTTTAGGGACAGTGCAGGAGGGGACCTCTGAAGAATTTAGGGAGGCTTCAGAGATAAGGACAACCAAGGAAATGTAACCAAGTCCACTGGGAAAAACAAACATCCTAGGACCACAGACAATCTTGTTAAGGATGGTCCTGGTTTTCTTCAGGTGATAAAGATAAGGTGTGGAGATGCTCTCCTGGAAGACTAGGCCATAAAGATAAAGATGTAACAAATGGGGAAAGACAAACCTGTTAGATAAGGAATGTGAAGATCCCCCACTCAGTAACAAATTAAGTGAGACAGCTGAGAACTGACCAATCACAAAGAGACTGGTGGAGCTTTAGAATAATCAGGGAAAGAAAGTATATATTCCCTGAGACACGACTCCACTTTGGCTTCCTTGCCCCTCCCACGCCTGGTTCCCTGGCCTGGGAGTCCCACTTTATTTCTGCTCTTTTTCTCCTCAATAAACTTTTTCTTTCTATAAACAAACCACCTCTTCTCGCTTGCTTGCCTGAGCGTCTGCGAAGTTCCTGCTGCGGCTTCGTGAGACACCAACCCGTGGGGGTCTAGTGGCTGGGGCTCAGCGCTGCCCTGCAGCCTGGAATCCGTTCCTGGCTGGGAGACTAGGCCTGACAATTCCGGTATCAAAAGGTTTCCATTTCTATGGTTTTAAATATAGGAAATTGAATTATTTTTTATTTGGTAACTTTTTTTATTGGGGTACCATTGGTTCACAGCACCGTATATGATTTAGCTGTGGAGTCACACCTCTTCTGATGTTACAGCTCCATACCCACCACCAAGGCACCTACAGCCCTTCACCACACACCTCTGGGCCTCCTTCCTCCCCTTTGTCCTCTACTATTTCTCTTCCCTCTCCAGTAGGCTCAAATCTGCAGTCATATTTCTGGGGTTTGTTTTGGTTTAGTTTTGTCTCTTCCTTTGTTTTGTTTCTTTATATTCCACATATGGGTTAATCATCCAGTATTTGTTTTTCTTCTTTTGACTCAGGAAATTAAGGGTGTGATACAATATTCCTAAGGAGCTATCCAGGCTTAGTGTTTTTCAGATGGTTAGCTCTGTTTTCACAGAGCTGCATTTCTTTCTTTTTTTAAAGATTTATTTGTTTTTGTATACAAGAACTGGGGTGTAGGCCAGAGTTGCGGGGTGGTGAGAGGATTCACCAGAGACAGTGGAGAGCAGAACAGGCAGCTGTTCCCCTCACTGGTTTCAAATAGTCTTTCTTTGTCTTGGATATTTTACTGCCATGTCTTGGTGTAGGTCTCATTTTGTTTAGGTACCCTGGTGTTCTTTTAGCTTCCTGTATTTGTATATTTAATTCCTTCTCCAAGTTTGGAAGTTTTCCTCTATTATGTCTTTAAATACATTCTCAGTTCCCTTCTCTCTCTCTTCCACCTCTGGGATACCCATTGTTCTTGCATTGTCTTTCCTCATGGAGTCAGGTAATTCTTGAAGTGTTTCTTCCTGTTTTTCCCCTTCCTATCTCATTTCTCTCTTCTTCAACCCAGATTCTTTGTGCATTTGCATCTTCAAGTTCATTGATTTGATCTTCCATTGGTCTAACTTTCTCCAGAATTTTTCTTCTCCTCTATTATTTTTACATCCTACATCTCCAATATTTAAAGCTTCACTTTTGACCTATGCTTGTTGGGTTTTGACCTTTTTTTTGTTTTTTTTTTAAATGTCTCAGTCAGCATGAGTAACACAGAAATTTTTTTTTTAATCTTTTTTTTTTTTTTAAAGATTTATTTATTTATTTTATACAAGCACTGGATACGGTCAGAAGCGCGGGAGGGTGAGAGAATTCACCAGAGCCAGAGCAGGGAGCAGAGCAGGCAGAAGGACCGAAGTACACTGCTGAGGGGAGCAGCGGGCGGCAGGAGAGGTCTGCGCGCCATGTGGGACCCTCCTCTGGTGGCTGGGGAGCAGCCGGGGATTGAACTGGCGCCGCCGAGGCTGCGGGCAGCTTCACAACCCAGCGCTCAACCGCTGCGCCACCGGGGAGGCCCGGGTTTTGACCTTTTGTTTGTTGATTTTCTTTCTCAGGACATTCATTTGTTTTTCTGAGTTTTCTTTCATATATTTGAATTTCCTTGTTATGGCAATTTTGAAATCTGATGGGGAGAACAGACCTTCCATGTCCTTGTAATTGGTTCTCAAGATTTGTTCTCTTTCTGGGTATAGCATTCCCCTAAGGACTCATGGTGCTCTTTGTTCTGATATTCCATCTCCCCATTATTACCTTTCAATGCTGTGCTCTAGAGGAGCTTGACATCAAGGGCCTCTGCTCATGCTGGCTCACCATATCTTCTTTCTGTGTTCATTTTTTGATAGACATTTACATTGTTTCCATATCTTGGCTATTGCAAATAATGCTGCTGTAAACAGGGGTGCATATATCTGTTCAAGGTGGTTTTTCTTTTCTTGTAATACCCAGAAGTTTAATTGCTGAGTCATGTGGTAGTTCTACTTTTAATTTTTTGAGGAACCACCATACTCTTTTCCATAGTAGTTACATCAATTTAAAGTCTCATCAAAAGAGCTTGAGGGTCCTCTGTTATCTACATCATTTTCAACCTTTGTTTCTTTTCTTTTTGATAATTGTCATTCTGGCAAGTGTGAGGCGATAGCTCATTATAGTTTTGATTTGTATTTCCTTGATGATTAATGGTGTTGAGCATCTGTTCATGTGCCTGTTGGCCATCTGTATGTTTTCATTTGAAAACTATTCAGTTCATTTGCCTATTCTTTTAT